AAAGCATGATCATTAAAATTTACATAAAAAAGTGAAAGAACAAAAACAATAAACCTATTAATAACCCAATTGAAATAAAACAAGTTTGGACTAAATATATCGAAGATCTTTTCATGGACACAAGAACGAAACCAACACAAATTGATAATGAAGAAGCTTCAATAAGACGAAGACAATTGAAGTGCAATAACTATACTCTTTACCAAGGTATACAAATCTGGTGAGATACCTACAGAATGGCTGCTATCGACCTTTATTCCGCTACCAAAAACCAAGAACCCCAAACACTGTAATGACTATAGATTAATCAGCTTAGTGTTACACTTATTAAAAACATTTTTAAAGATTATACATGCAAGAATATTCAGAAAGTGCAAAGCGGATATGAGTAATAGACAGTTTGGCTTTCGTAACGGCTTCGGAACAGTGGAAGCTCTGTATAGTTTCACAACTCTTGTCCAAAAATGTCGAGACCAACAAAAAGATCTTTTCGTTGCGTTTATAGACTATGAGAAAGCTTTCGACAAAGTTAAACATAACATTCTTATGGAATGAATAAACAGAAAAGGACTCAACAAAAATGACATTAACATAGTGAGAAATCTCTATTGGAACCAACAGGCTGTGATAACAGTAGATTGACGGATGCGCAACAGATAAATAGAGGAGTGAGACAGGGCTGTGTACTTTCACCATTACTATTTAATATATATTCCGAAGAGATAATTACGCAAGCACTTGAAACTGTACAGAAGGGATCGAGATAAATGGTGAATATATAAATAACATCCGTTATTCTGACGATAGTCATTATCAATGAAAGTGAGACAGACCTGTAGACGTTACTAAACACAATTTGGTATACTGGAGAACAGTTTGGTTTAATAATAAACATAAAGAAAACAAAACCATGGTTATCAGTAAGAGGGACCTTGTAAGTCATTACAAGGATCCAGATAAAAATAAAGATATTGAGTAAGTGGACAAAATGAAATACTTAGGAGTGTAGATTAGTTAGGAGTAAAGACTTAACTGGCTTGGTCACGGAAAGAATGCCAGATAATCGAGCTGTAAAAGTAGTTCAGAGATGGAAGCCCCAAGGAAACAGAACAAGAGGAAGGTCCCGTAAAAGATGGATAGACGACGTAGAGAGGGATCTTAAAACCATGAACATCAGGCAGTGGCGAAGGACAGTATCCGACAGGGCAGAATGGAAAAACATTGTTAAGCAGGCCAAGACTCACACAGGGTTGTAGCGCCATTAAAAGAAGAAGAAGGAGTGTAGATTACGGAAGATCTGAATCCAAAATCAGAATTCGCTCAAGAATAGAGCAATCACGAGCAGTCTTTTTGAAGATGAGGACATTTCTGAGTAACTAAAGACTCAATGTGCAAATCCGATATCGGATGGTAAAATGTTATATCCACTCTATTCTTCTTTATGGTGTCGAAGCTTGGACTGTTAATGTTGACTTAATGAGAAAACTGGAAGCTTTTGAGATGTGGCTTTTTAGGAGAATTTTGAAGATACCATGGACCTTCATTAGTGGAGACGGCACTATAAGAAGAAGAAGAAGAAGAATGAGTGTCCTAAGAAACTAACTATTATATTGTAATGTTTATTTTAATTTATTTACACTCTTCTAACACTAACACTAAAACACAATTTATTTACATATTTATTTATATTTATTTACTTAACGGTAGAAATTTATATTACCGACTGACTTCTACAATTTAATTTTTCTTTATATATATTTTGTGAAACGCTCCCAGATTTCACTTGAAATTTCTTCTTCGCAGGTACTTGAAGTTACTTGGGATACTTTCTCAAAACTTGAAAAATTCTAATTCTAAATGAGACGGTAGCTAGAAGAAGGTCCTATCTGGTAAAAGTGTATTTTGCTAAACAAGCAGTCAAGATTTAACATGTATGCTTAACGCGAACCAACACTTGCACTGTTTAAGTGTTTTAGTTTTATGAATTTTATATCCATTAATAAGATAATAGAGAACACCTTTATAAAATATATTCTTTTTCAAATTAAGAGTATGAAAAACAAGTTTACATAATCCCTTCTTCTGGAGAACACATTTGGCAGATTAAAACGTCTTCTGCAGAAGAAAGGCCTAAAACTTTTTACTGTTATATAGTATACTACAGTTATATATTGTAATGTACAAAGGTTAATAATAATTAAGGTCTTTGTACAATAAGAAAACTTTTATTTTGTTTACACTACATTATATTTAATATAATTTTATGCTAAATTTCCTCACCATCTGAGTCATCAGCACTACTCTCGTTATCCTTTTCAGCCGGTGTACTTTCTTGAAATAAAACTTTGTAGATGCAAACTTTTATTCTAACGCGCTTCACTCATACTTGATATGTCATCAAAAAAGGAACGGTACACGGACACATCAGAACCAAAAGTTTTTTGTTTGTATTTCCAGTGATACTGTCTACTAATTTTGAGATTTTCTATCGCCGTTTTCCTTTTCTTGATGGTTTCGAAAAGTTGGCGTTCTTGGTTTATTCTTTTAAGGACATCTATATTTGTGATTTTCGCTGTCCATGGTATTTTTAGGATACGGCGATAAAACCACATTTCGAAAGCTTCTAATCTGTTTATATCCGTCGTTTTGAGTGTCCAGCCCTCTACGCCATATAGCAACACTGACCATACGTAGCACTTAGTAAACCTTAGTCTCAGTTGAAGATCAAACTCTAAAAGAGTCCAGCGAACAGTGAACAACTCTAGACCTATAAGCCCCACTATAGGCCCATATTCTAGCTACCTCCTCAAATTACCTTCTTACACCATTTGTTAACCAATACTAATTTAACCTAAAACGTAAATTTGTGTTTTCACTATTGCCTATATTCGGTCTTGACTTGTTTTATTATTTTCAATAACGCCGGTACAAAATACGCAATGATATCAATTATTGTATTCGACTTGATAGGTGTTCAAAAATATCGGCTGATTGCAACAAAACTCTAATAAACCTATGCACCTGTGATAACATGTGTTGTTAATGTTAAATATACCTAGTAACCAGTTGCTTTATTTTAATATATTTATTATAAATAACCTCTTTTAAATTGTATAAATTAATGTTTAATATAATACTTATCATAAATTTCCAACAGTAATTTATTGAAAATGTGGGAATAGGGGAGACCGGGGGAATTCTGCGCATCTAAGGGAAAATACAAAAGTTTCCTATAAGCACACAAACTTCCATAATTTAACTACTGAAACTTGTATCTATTGGGGACATTATTAACATAAAAAAAGTTTAAAGTTTTACGAATTTTGAAGAAAAAAATTACTTTAAAAAACTGTCATTTCATCATCGCTCGTATAATTAACTGCTGAATCCCAACTACAACATTCTGTATGAGCCCAATTTGAAAGATAACTCTTCATTTATCCAACCGTTTTTTGAACATCTGTATATTGCTACAATTGGACCTCCTCTCACTAATTGTGGATTCATACGTATTAGAGGGAATATGAACATAAGAGGGGCAAACTATCCTGAAGCATTTACAGCGCATACTATGGGAACATTTTTCCCTCTTTCCCAAGATATTACGGATCCTATTTGCTTTTGACCTTTTGGTGCCAAAATTGTTTATATTTTCTGGACCGTAGAAATACCCGTTTCATCTACATTAAAAATTCGACTCTCAAGAAATTTGAACTTTTTTCCATAACTGTGAGCAAATTGTTAAAAAACAATTCAGGTTTTCTAACAATAATGTCTGGATAATGTTTTAAAAGAGTTCTAACCAATCTTTACCAGACATTTTCTTTATCGATTTGAAACGGTGTTTTATTTTATTCGCTTGAGCAAACCTGGCATGCTAAACGCCTTAGTTATGCTGGTGTGATTCCAAAAAACATATTCGCCAATTTTTTAACATAGTTGGCTATGGTAGATTCCTGTTCATCATTAAAAATTGGTTTCCTGTCAAGTTTTATTTTTTATGGCTATTGGATTTTAGTTCGAATGAATCGACGAAGAATGGTCGACCTCTTTCTCGGATTTTTCACCTAGATCATATAGTAATGATAGCAGCTTTTAGTTGTAGAACGAAGCACGAGGCATTTTGAAATCTAAAAAGCAATACACTTTATCAGCAAAAATTCTCATACGATTTTTTCGTATTTCGTATTTTCGAAATTTCCTCGACACAGCTGCGCGGTATTCCCCCTAAGTGAATAACCTAACTTAAATTATCACTGGCCGTTAATGACTAAATACAATGCATTGTTTTTTACGTGAAATTATCTATACATATAAAGCAAAATAATCATTGCAATAGTTTAAATAAAAATTAATAACAAAAGCACTTACCACTTTTTAAAGATTGTTCAAAAATTACATCAACGTCTTGAGAAAAAAGATCAATCGGCGATCTTGCCTAAACCAACACTACGAATGCAGTCATATTACAAACATGTGATTGGCTAGCAAATACGAGATCGCACGAGGTGTTAAATGTTGAAATAGTTATGTGCTTGCTTATGTCGTGTTGCTAAGATACTGATCCGCAGCATTCCCCTGTGAGGAATTCCCTCGGTCCTCCTAATCCTAGCTCCGTCTGTTTGAGATCTAAGAAACTGAATTTTTTTACGCCTTTACTTGGAAATTAAAAAATAAAATAATAAATACACGTAAGATGACGTTAAATTAATTCAACGAATCAGCATAGTATGGCACCATCATACATTGTTTTCAGTGTTGATTCTGCAGATCTAAAGAAGGGCGATAAAATCTCAACGACTGCTAGATTTACAAGAGTCCTATTGCTGATATCTTTTTAAGACTTGTGTTATGTCTTTCAAATTGTAACTTCTGTAGAAATAATAGTTTATTGCAAAAAATTCTACTGCTAAAATTTGTTGCGGGTATCAAGAAATGAATAATATCATGATGTTGATCACCATAATAAATAAATAAACGGATTGTGTTGCTCTTTTTAGGTATCTACGATTAAACGTTAAGGAAACTAACGAAAATATGACAAAGAGTAGCATAAACCGTATGGCTACGTTAACCAAATATCCTGCACCAAAGAAAAAAGAAGATGTGACCACGATGTTGGGAGACAATAAACATTCAGAATTTCCTGTATTTGTTGATTATCCTGGTAGCTATGTGAAAACTGTAGCCGTTGGTAAGTTTTGTCATGTCATAAGTCCGTTCTTTAGATTTGGCATATTCATAACCACGTTTGTTTTAACTAAATGGTTTATACTTATTTTAGGCGATTTTAAACCTGATGATGGACTGTTTAGTCCGAAAACGTTTGTTTTTTTTATGTAGCCCTTTTAAGGGTTTTTAAATAAATATACACACTTACGAAGACTAACCTCTTTTTTTTTTACTTTATAGATTCTTGTTTTTGTGTCTTGTCTTAGGTGTTTATTCTTCCAGATTATGTCCTTAAGAGAACCCGCCGCTTTACTTGCTTTTAAGTTTTGTTGTCGTACTTCTTCTTCAACATCTTCGTAACTAGTTATATCTATTCCCAGATATCTAAACCTTGCTTCCTGCTTTATTATTTTCCCATCAATTCCGATTTTGGGAAGTGGGCTCAAAGAGTCACCCTGTCTGACTCCGCTTTGTACGCGTCCTTTTTCCAGCTAATTATTCGTTTTTGCTATTCAGTCTTCATCCATACTGTTTACATATCCATATCATTATAAGTTGTTTCTGGCGATATCGTTAACAGTTCTTATTTTATTTTTTCGAGCAATTCTGACGTCTTCATTTTTAATTCTTTCTAGTTAAAATTTTCGTGTTTTTTCGTAAAAAGTTCGTTTTATGTTCGGCGAATCAATTGCCAAACCTCGCTTACATATATCTTATAAGACAGTTCTTTAACTTCATCATCATCACCCAGCCCTTTGCGTCACTGCTGAACATAGGCCTCAATCATTTTTGTCCTTTGTGCTCTATCTTCAGCACTTTTCATCAAATTTCTTGACATTTTTTTGAGTCAGTCCAACGAGTGGGGAGTCTTCCTCTACTTGGTCAAATACCAATCCGACCGACATGTGAATATCTCCTTTTTTTTTTAATTATTAGAAAAATTCTTATGCCGGGTACTTTAAGGGTATTACAAAATGATGTTTTTTATAGTTTATTTTTGACATGTTTGTTTTAGGTATTTTTGACTGCAACGCCAAAACTTGGAGCATCTATTCAGATAACCCATCGAAAAATGAACCAATTGTGGTACTTCCTTTAGTACTTAAAGAAAATAAATAGATTTAATTTAATATATCATTGTTCCCATATGACATAAATAATATAATATATAATAAATATAATACCTAAATGTTGGTTGTTTTTCTGTTAATTTTATTTGTACTATCTTAAATATGTATTTTTCTTATATTATTACCAACAAACTTCAATAAAAAATAAAGAGATTAAATTGGAGTTCTTATTTATGTTTGTTTCCTGTTTTCCAAAATATTAACACTTTTCAATAGGGATTAATGGAATGAACAACACTGAGCAGCAAGTTTTCATCATTTACCATACTACTTATCCATTGTCAAACCCAAATTTAATTTGCAGATCCTTTCCTCTCTTTAACAATGTATGAAAACACATGCTGAGATCTGAATAGTTGGCTTTGAAGCCTCTTTGCTACTTATTATTCAGATGGGTTTTATTTATAATATATTAAGTTTATTTTGAACTTAATATGGCTTTTATAGAACAATGATTTCCAATCATAGGGAAGTTCAAAATTTCCAAATATCACATGATAATGAATCACCAGGAAAAGTTGCTTCATTTTGAGTTAAATCACTTCTACCTGTGTCCTTACCCTCCTCTTATTTTTGTTTGCATATGCTGTGGTCATGCATTTTCTAATCCTTTTCGTCTTCTCAGTTTCCACTATAACACTATATAGTCATTTTCTATTTCTTTCTATTTCACAACAAATCTGCCAGGCGTTTGTGACTACCTGTTGTTGTTAGATTACCTTGTTAGATTTACCAACTCATAGATGCATCTCCTCATTTTTGACATTCCTTTCTGTTTAACTTCTTTTAGATTGATTTCTTGTTTCCATGTGATTTCCTTTTCTGTCTTCTATTAATATTGGTCCCATTCACTCTCGTCATTACTATCCCCTTTTTTATCTGCTGCCATTCTCCACCACTGTTTTCCCTTTTTCTCTCTTTTGACTTATAATTTTCCTCCTTACAGCTATTCTCTTTAACAGTAAATTTATAGGCAGTCAATGGAGAACAGAACTTTTTACGCAACTGTTAAAAACAAAGAAAAAAAATAAAACTAGCTGAAACACATATAAATTACTTTATTAATTACGATAAAACAGAACCATAATAAACCTAACATAAAAATAGACCTTTATACATATAATATAATTGCAATTTACATAAAACTATAATTTATAATATTGGTGAAACCCCATTTAACTTTCAGATATATTTTACATCCCACATGATCCACCTGCACAGCCACCTACAGTTGGAGGATTGATGTCCCTCATTGTTCTAAATCTAGCACCACCATTTCCACCTCCAGGTCTAAAAAAATTTTAAAATGATAATCACATCTTCATATTTTCTTTACATATGTTTTGCACATAGTGTCTCTGACAACCATCTCTAAGGAAGTAATAGATTAAATAGTACCACAGTTAACAACACTGTGTATCAAAGTTTTGTATAACAGTAAAACTATATCTCCATTAAGCAAAATATCAAATCATCCATCATACATATTGAATTTAAAATCAATTCAAAAGCACTTACCCATTAGGTCTTCCACCCCATCCACCACCACCTCCTCCTCCTCCACCACGTCCAAGAGTACTACCACTGCCCCTAGATGAACTGGAACCACTTGAGCTACTTTGGGCATTATATTCAATCGGAATCAATGTTATAAAGCTAAAAGAATATGGACATTATTTAAAACTACAAAAATTAACAAAGAATTAACTACTATAGTAATCAATTGAGTAAACAAGGCATTAGTTTATTTTATGGAAAATTTATATACATTATTTGTACATGCATATAAATTATGCAATTTCCTTCAATTCTTGTATTTGTCTTTCTAACTTTGGAATTGTGCAAGATTTTAAAAACAATCAATCCCCTTGTCTCCTAAAGTTGTAAACTTTTGAAGAACTCCGTAAATATAAATAATAAGTTAAGAGGAAAATTTTAGAAAGAAATACGCAATTTACTTAAACAAACAGATTATTTGAACACACAACATTCATTAAGAATCTCCCGTTTTCATACTTTTTAATTAGTGTTAAAATCCCAAAAAATAAGTATAATTACATTTACAACGATTATAATGTATAAGCAATGAAATATGAGACAATACTTACAAGTTAATGACAAAATGTATTACTCCATCAAAAAACTTGGAAATCCTTGTAAATATAGGTGGATTTTGTTGTAACTGCCCACCTAAAAGAGATAAAAATCTATAAAATTTTGATAATTTTGATATTAAATTACTTACCAGTTACATACGTCATTTTTCTTTAAATTGCTGAAAATACAATACAAATTTTTTCTTTTAAAAGTGATTAAACTTTATCAATTTTTGTATACACGTCAGTATAATGAGTTGTGTTGTGACAGTGACAGTGACAGACGGTGACAGACAAAAAACGTTTAAAACGTCAAACGTCAGTAAAAAATGACAAGTACACCGGAAATAAATACAAACAAAGGTCGTCTAACCTTTTGGTGCATTTTCAAAAAATCAAGTAATTTGTCAAAAATTAATATTTTCTTAGAATATAACCCACAAACAATTGACGACTCTATATATGTACTTAGTTATCTTTAGCAACTATGATAATTGAAGTATGTGGAAAAGTGTATTTTTTATATTCAGCTCAATAATCTTCTAGAAGGAAGTTGTTTATAAAAAAAAACGCGAAACCTAATTATTATGTTACATCACTATAAATAGATATTACTAGAATATAATTTTCAAAAACAGATTTTTGATTTGATTACTGATATTGAAGAGATTTGATAAGTTAAAAGAATTTTTATCTTTAAAATTATGCAACTATATATACAATTATTCACCATTTAAAATTGGAACACATACAAGGTTAGCAAATAGACAGGTTGTCTTGTAACTTTACACCAATCAGCGTCAAGAACCTAATGGCGGGAATGACGTCACTGGAAATACATTATTCAAATTAATTCTTCTAATACTGGTTGAAATGAATTCGGAAAGCAGCAATGATTGAAAATATATTCTATGCAAATTCTATAATCTTCTATGCGAAAGTGTATACTACAAACTATTTTATTAACACAGTATCGCTTATCCTTCCTATGACACTTGCTGATCCAGTGATTTTGTATTTTTACGTTTTTTGGATATGTAAAAAAACATTAAATTCCTTCCATCCTCTTTGGACTCTTATAAAATAATATTTTTGCAGATTGGTACATCTACACTGCAAATATTTCCACCAGTTATCTGAATCGGTAAAAAAAATTGAAATAATTTATGTTAAACATTTTCCTGTGGTTACCCCAATGTTACCTTTACTATATAAAAGCAGAAATAAAATCAGTAAACTTAAAAACTTAAAACCACCACATTAAATGTATCTTAACACTTATATAAGAGTTTTGGGTTCAAGATATATACTAAAAAACACTCAATGATATCTATATACAAATCTCAAGATATAAGCATAAACTAAAACACTGAAATATATTCTTCAAACCATATCCTATTCTGATCTCAAACATTTCGTAAAGTTTACCCCATGGGTGACGTCATGCTGACATATTTCATTCTGTTAATGTCAAAGTTACCATGCAACCTATCTTTTAATGACCTTGGAACACATACAAGAAATCGGAATCGGAAACGTCAACCATTACCAATTTCATGTTCTGTCACTCCATGTTTTCTCTCTTTTGGTGAATTCTTGGCAACACGAGAATCACGTTGTGAATTTTTAAAATAAAGCCAGGTAGGACAATATTTATAACGATGAAACTGTTGTTAATCTCGTTCATTTTCATTAAAGTTGCTGATCAGTAATACTAAACTCGGTTTTACTAATATAACCTACAATTTTTAGCATGGCACCAAGGTACGAGATCGCAGTCGGCCTCCAAAGGGGTCACAAAACCACCAAAATTTCAGACAAATCTAAACTGAATAAAGTTCGTCCCGCCAGGTTGAAGGGGATCCAAACCAAACACACCAAATTTGTCAGAGACATTATCCGTGAAGTCGTAGGACATGCTCCATATGAAAAGAGAGCCATGGAATTGTTAAAGGTATATAATTCAATCTCTGGTGTTAATACTAAGATTTTCTGCTCGTATTTGTTTTTTTTTATTGTTTAGTGCATCCTTTGTCATCAAATTCGAGCTTTTATGTCTAGAAGTTGTTTATATAACATCAATTGATTTTCCCTATTTCTGCACACTGTTGAAAATATCAATTTTTAAGTGAAGTAAACACAGATTTTTGTTTTTAGTAATTTTAGTGTTTTCTGTTTAAAACCAATATTAATTTCATATAATTTTTCAAGGTTTCAAAGGATAAGAGGGCCCTGAAATTCCTGAAACGTCGTCTTGGCACACACATCAGAGCTAAGAGGAAGCGTGAAGAACTATCCAACATTCTTACCCAAATGCGTAAACAACAAGCTACACATAAATAGATTGTATTTTGTTTAATTAATAAAAAAAGAAAAAACTGATTTGTTGTATTTGTGATTTTCTAAAATACCTGTTATCCCTTATATTATTAAGTGCTTGGATTACTGACAATGCATTTATGTATTGTAATTAAAATAATAGTTAAAAGTGGGTTTCAAACTACTAAATAAGAAGTTATAAATAAAATTCAAAATATAGATAGAGGAGGTTTTACCCATTAGAGATAGTGCAAACACTTGTGAGCATGGAGCTGTGCGAAGGCGTAGGCAAAATTCATGTAAAGACAAAAAGGTTCTATTGTAAGTGGAGTAATGCTAGCCAAACTGACGTAACCCAATGTTCTACCATTCACTTTGCATAGTACAGTGCGTTTTGCATGGAAGTGGGAAGTAAACAAAATTTCGTCTACTGAGCTGTGGTCAGTAGTATTTGCACTATCTCTAACAATATTGTTCATGACATGTTACTTCTTTCAGAGGCTAGTGAAAGTTTTTTTTGTAAATGAAATAAATATTGAACTTCTACACATTTGTCCCCACAATTTTTAAGGAACTACTAAAATAATACAGAGATTTTTCTGTTCCGTGTATAATCACTGCTGTAGAGGAAACATACATCTTTTGTCTGTGGTCTTTAATCCTCAATTCCTGGGTCAAGTTACAGGCTCAACTCAACACAAAATTTTCTAAGGTATATGTGAAAGAGTTCTTGCCTCAAATTCTTCTGCACACTCTCCCTGCCAGAAGAGACACTTACATTTCATATACATACAGGTATTGGTTGATTGTTTACTGAACTAATGAGCTCAAATTAAGAAAAAAATTAATCATCATATCCCTTTTAGGCAAACCCGGCTTATCATACCTTTCCAAATTATCCTCCATTAAAAAAACTATGGATATAATTATTCTTATCTAAGTTTGCAAACTAGTATACAGATAGGTGTGATTGCTTTTAAAAGAACAGTATTTTTAAAGTGCAATTAATATCTTACATGTGAATCTTTGATACTAACTGTGTAATTTAGTTAAATCGATTTTAAATTGTGACTTGGTTTTTTTTTGTTTGGTTCTTTCTTTATTATCTTGTTAGTATTAAATTTTATGACATGTAATAGATTAGGTTTTAAAAGGTTATATTAAAATATTGTATTTAAATTGGGGAATTACTCGCTGACAAAAAAGATAAATTTTTCCACTACACTGTAAATCAATAGTCCTCTCGGGAGGATATTAACATTGCACAAACAGAACACCCATTATTATACAATTTTATCATCTCCACATTTAAGTTGTATTCATCCATTGAGATTTAGCGAAGTTTGAAAGTCCATATCTAAAGTTTTAAACTGCTTTTGATTTCGTTATGTTTCTCAAATATTACATAAGCTTTATAAATTCTTGTAACTTTTCAGTAATGATTATAGAGCGGTGGTCACATATATGATAAAAAAAATTGTATTTTATTTCAGTTATAGGCATTCTGTTTATAGTTACAAGGTCCAATAGATCTGGGTTCTTGTTCTTATAAGTTGTTAAATATCTTGGCTCCTCAATTGTTAAAAGCCCAGGTTATAAGTGAATAATAATACAAGTCTCCTTTTAATATCAGCAGAACGATTTGGATTAGTGATTTCTTGAATCCAGAATTGTACAAAGAAAGTCAGTGCCACATTTCTACCTTTAAAATAAAAGATTAAAAACAAAGTTATAATTTTTATTAAAAAACATCTATAAACTGTTACAAGTTACTTATAATACTATCTGCATCATCCACAACAGCCTCGTCCCAAGGCCCATATATTGTTTCTTTGTAGTTCTGTAAATAAACATACAGAAATGGACAAATTATACTTATAAGAACAACAGTAAATAAATATAAAACCAAAGCTAACTTACTTAAATAAATTAAACAATATATGTCTACAATTAAATAAATCCATAAGAAGCAAGTTTGATTTTTAAGTGCTGAATACAAAATTGGGAGTAAAACGAACATTTTTATGGCAGCAGTCATCAGTACGAAAGCATTGAATGCTGTTGACAGTCTTGACGCTAAACAAATTGAACCAAAAATTGCAGTACTTAACGATACACTATTTGAAACGATTGCTGCACCTACTCCATAGTCGAAAAATATCATGTGTACAACCATCATAAGAAATGTTGTTGTATAAATTGAATCTGTGCTTACAGTTTCTGTAAGAGTGTGTAAGACAGGAGAGAACAGTCTTCCAACCACTACGAAAGTAATAATAGTCCTAATATCATTTCCGAGTTTATTTAAAACGTCTTGGCTAAATGCCCAAAGATAATACACAAATCCTAAAGTGGTTACAGCACTGGTACATGTTAGTAAGGCTGATGGTTCTACCCATTCATAGAGTAAGTAAAAATAAATCAATACGAAGGTAACTACATTACAAAACTCTTGTAATATTATTAGAGATCCGTAAAATGCCTCAAAAAACTTAACTTCTTTGAAATCAATGTTTTTCTTTAAGTCTTGTAAGAAAATTTTTTTATCGGTGTAATTATCTGGATATGGTTGTTTTTCGTACAACACTTTTTTCCATGGTGGTTTACTTGTTCCAGACATATTTTATTTATAAATTCATTTCATTTTTATTGAAGATAATTTATTGACAATTAAAATAAAGGTAATCTTTATTCTATCTTCTATCCTTGCAATTGATAGGTTAGGTAGAAATGCATTTTCAAAACAAATAACAGACAGAACTTGTGTTGCCAGTGGCACACTTTTAGTGAATATTTTTTTAAATTATTTAATATACATACATTGCATATAAATAATTCGAATCACAATGAAAGTTAACTTTAGATTAGTATGTAAATAAAAATATTCGACAAAGAATACAAGCTGGTTACTATATAGATGTATTGCAATAATCTTGTATGTGGCAACATCTATGCTGACTGCCAAATGTGTGAATTCCTGTTCTGTTCATTGTCACCACAGCCACCTTTACTTCCAAGCCATGAAGTAGAAATTTGGCAACAACGCGTGGTAGTCCGACTTTGGTTTGTTTTGGTTTAACATTTCATAATAAGAAGGCTTGTAAAGTTTGTTGAATTTATTGTTTTTTAACTTTATTCGAATGTTTTATTTGTAAATTTGTGTTTAAATCAATTAGAAAATATTAATATAAGTGAAATTTCATTAAATTTAGAACTTCTAGAAGATTCTTAACGACAGGCAAGTATAAATATAACCTACAAAACAAACTGAAAATAATAATACTTTTGCTTCTTGTTACAAAATAGGTAAACTAAAAACAACAATAATAATACTTTTGTTTTTTGTTACAGATGCTCTGGCATTGTTGTGTACCTGGTTGCAAAACCAATCTCTATTCATAGAGAAGGCTGTACAATTACCAAATCTTCCATATATGTGCCAAACTTTTTCATGAAGATTGTATTCAGCGGACTGAACAATGAGAAGATAAAGATGGAAATGTACACATTGAAAAGTTAATATTTCCCAAATTAAAAGGCAATGCAGTTCCTAATATATTTCCTGAAGTACCATCAATCATCATATGTAACTGTTCATTGTACTAAAGAAAGAAGGAATCCCGAAGACAGAAGAAACTTTGTGCATAAGAAGAGGGAACAAGAGATAACATAATTATGTCAATTAGACTTAGACAATAATATCCCATTGAAAAACTGGACAAGTAAAATTACAAGTGATTGTGTATATTTCTATGTATTAAACATTAATCAGTTGGGACACAAGTGTGATAATATTTGTGTAATAGTTAGCAGTAATTTTAGTGTAATCCTGTAATCATCAATGTAGGTAAGAATAGATTAAGTGGTAATGATTTGAAATGGATTTTACAATATAGTAAATTAACAAGATGGTCACAATTAGAGAACTTACTTACTCGATTAGATTTGCTTTTTAGATAAGTGATAACAAATTTGAGTATTACATTCAAAAATCTTTTGAGAATATAGGCTATTTTAAATCGATATACAAGTTATAAATGGTATGTTACATTCAACACATTTTTCATGTATACCTCTTTTAACTTGGTCTATATGACAACAAACCTATTAATATTTAAAATTGCTACTTTTGTATATCTAAGTATGAAAATTCAACAAAAGTTATAAGTAAATAGTAAAATATTTAATTTTCAATTAGATTAATTTAGAACCATATTTATATTGTGTCTGATTTCTTAGGATGAATTTTTTAATCATAATAGTTAATACACTAAGTTTTTACTTATGGCAAATTTTATATCTTTTGTATTTTTAATAATCTTTTTAAATGTCCTGTTAATGTTTTGTGTTATTTATATGCTTAAGTACTTAAAATATTTAAAAATTTCTAGTGATTCTTGACTGCATTTGATTGTAAGATTAACTGTTTGACACTGTATTTTAAGTGCAATAAATTTTACTCTAGTGATTATTTTATTGATAATATAACCTAAATAATAATAAAACTTTATATATATTTACTAGGTATATATAAGGTTTTATTAATTTAATTTCCCTAAAAATATTTCTGTAATTATCAGTTTCCTAAAACTCAAATTAGTTTAATATTCTGGTAGACCTTACAGCTGATTATAGGACTACCGACGTCATAGAATGCAGTGTTGCCTTTTTTACTTCATGGCTTGGAAGTAAAGGTGGCTGTGTTGTCACGCATTGTCACGGAAGTGTTCGTCGGTTCGTACTTCCTCATTTCATAAATCACAGATAAAATAAACCTAGATTTGTAACAAGGATTGCCAAATCAACTCACATTTTTGTTTGGCACCCTTCCGTTTGGTGGCAGTGCACTAGCGTCTAGAGCCTGACCCACTATTATGTGCAGACTTGCGCAGTTCATTTGTATTCATTTCTGAATGTGTCAACACCGAAGATGTCAATGAGGTTTATAATTCTTGTAACACATACAACATTTTTGTAACATTTTTATAAATAAAGATTTTATTTTTTAATTTTTTTTAACCACTGGCATTTTAATGTCATTC